AGTAATATTTTTAAATATAATTTAATTAATTGATTTTATCTATATTAAAATTAATTTAAAGTATAAATATCCTCACACTACCTATATTTTCTTTTTAATATACATTCTCTTCCCTACTATAAATGTTAATTAGTTTTATATTAATATTTTACCTATAACCAAAATAATGTCTTGTTTTAAATTGTAACTTTTAATTAGTCTAAAATATTAATACATAAGTTATTTGATTATCATATTCCAAATGTATTGAGTTCTTTTATAATTAATTTTGTATTAGATGCAGTTAAATTTTCTTTCTTTTTAGCTATAAGATAAAATTTAATTTTAATTTTCATTATTAAGATTACCAATATTAGAAATTTATTTTGTATTTTTAAAAATTTATTTAATCATAGGAAAAAAACTTTCTTAATTTTATGAACACGTTATTTTTAAATATTGTAATAATATTTTTACTATCATTTTAATTATTTACATAATATCTTTAAAAAAAATTCATCTCAAACTCAAATAATTCTTATCATTTTATTTTCTAAACTGGACCACATTTTCAAAAAATTATGCTATGCATTCAAACTCAAACTAACTGCACTCGATTCAGATATTAATCATAAGTCTAAAATATTAATACATAAGTTATTTGATTATCATGTTCCAAATGTATTGAGTTCTCTTATAATTAATTTTGTATTAGATGCAGTTAAATTTTTGTTCTTTTTTAGCTATAAGATAAAATTTAATTTTTAATTTTCATTATTAAGGTTACCAATATTAGAAATTTATTTTGTATTTTTAAAAATTTATTTATTCATAGAATTTTTTTTTAAAATTTTTTGATCACATTATTTCTAAATATTGTAATAGTATTTTTATTATCATTTTAATCCTTTATGTAATATTTTCAAAAAAAATCTCATCTCAAACTCAAATGATTCTTATCATTTTATCTTCTAAACTGGACTGCATTTTCAAATAATTATGCTATACATTCAAACTCAAACTAACTGCACTCGATTTAGATATTAATCACAAAAAAATATTTTTTAAATCATTTGAACATATTATATCTAAATGTTGTAGTAATATTTTCACTGTCATTTTACTTCTTTACATAATTTTTTTTCTTTTTTAGTTTTAAGATACAAATTTAATTTTTTATAAAATTACCTATATCAGAACTTTATTTTATAATTTAAAATTTTATTTTTTATTATTATTTTATTTTTCATAAATAAGACTTCAATTTCGTGGTATTATTCATAATTTGAGCATTCACAACATAGTTTTAAGAACTTTCTAATATCAAATTCAAATAGTCTTTTCTTTTCATTTCTAATAGTAAATTTCTAATAAGTTAACATAATTTTCCTATTTTTTTTTAATCTAATATATAGGCTTATTACGTTTTATGTGACTTTTCATTATCTCATAACTTTATTTAATATCATTCTCAACTACTTTTCTTTAATAATATAAGATAAATATATAATTTTTTAATTATAAAATAATATTTATTTTGTTTTAAAAATATTGGTCAAAAATTTTAAATTATTTAAAGTTTAATAATATTTTTAAGTATTGTATATTTACTTTATTTTATTTTCTAATCTTATGATTTATAAATGTCCTTATATTATCTCTAATTTATTTTTATTGTTCAAGATTTTTAGTTTTTGATTTTACTATTAGACTTGAATTATGTGGACTTATATTATGACTTTTCTTATCATAATATAAAAAACTTTCTCATCTCAAATTTAAATAAGTTTTACACTTTTTCCTATGATAAAAAATCTTAGTTTTTTTCTATTTATTCTTTATTATTGATTTTATATATTCAATACCTAATATTATTACATTGTCATGTGAATTTTTATTAGTTTGTTTGAATTTAATATCTATTTTTACCACACTCATTCTAATATAATATAAATAAAAATTAAAATACTTTCTCATCTCAAATTCAAATAATTTTTGTCATTTTATTTTCTTAGTTGGACCATATTTTCAAAAAGTTATGGTATGCTTTCAAATTGGTATGATTTTTGTGACTTTAATTATATAGATTTACATATCAGTGATCATATATCTTTATGCCATAATAATTTTTTCTTTTAGTTATTATTGGACTTTTAGTCTATCACATCTTTCAAAAAGAAATTTTTTCTTTCATTTTTATGGCAATGTCAATAGAATATTTCATACCTTTTTCTCCTACCTATATTTATTCAAAGTATTAATTTAAATTTTTTGAAGAATGTTTATTTAAAAGGAAAAAAACTTTTGCATAGATTCTACTTAAAGAAATAATATAGAAGATAGAATATTTTACTATGATATAAAATCTATATTATATTAACTATCAATTCTGCCTATGTTTAATACTATTTTCTTATATTTTTTTCTCCAATTAATGCTTGCTTTATTTTCTCACTTTGAAGAAAAAAAATAGATTTTTCTAAGATCTATTTAGATTATGTATATGATTCATTCAAATACTTCCATTTATTATGTTCCATTTATAATTTATAATTATTAATGTTGTCTTAAAATTGCCAAATGACTTCATTTTAGCTTGCCACTTATGTTAACCACATGCTTCACTACTCTCCTTTTAATATAATATAGAAGATATAGATAATCGTGTGTTGTCGGCATATCATATATTTATATTATCTATAAAAAGTAAACAATAAATATGACCGGATATTATGTAAATATTCCATAAGATTTCCGGTTTTTGAGTTTATCCATTATATAACTTCTATTATAATAATTTTAGAACTCTCTACTAATGTTAAAAAATATTTTATATTTTTATTAAAAAAGTAAAGAGCTTTTTCGAAATAATTTGTTTACATTTTTTAAAAAAATATTTCACGTAATACCAATTTTTTCATTATATATACTCTTTATTACACTTAAAAGTCTCTATAGAAACTATCAATTAGAAATCAATTTATCTCTTGTTGAGTTTGAAAAAAAAAACCTTTCACATAATCTAATGATTCAAAACTAATATTCTTCAACGAAAAAAATATTATACTCTTGCAATATTGGCTTGACTACAACTAAATGAAGGGATTTCAGCTTATACTCTTCAATTCCTTGAATGTGCTAAATTGAAATTAATGATAGCAATTTTATAGCCAAAGTTTTATTATTTGTTTGATGTCCATTTATGCAAATTGACTCTTCAAATAAATATTCTTCAAGAAGAAAAAAGAAACAACTTTTTTTTTTAATTTAAATTTGAATTTTAGAACTTTATCTATAAATTCAAAATTATCTTTTAATTTAAATTCTATATGTGTGTGTGTGTGTATATATATATATATATATATATAATATTTGTATTTAACTAAAATTGTCAAATATAGAATAAAGTTACCATATATTATTGACATTTATTAGCTTGCCACTTGGCTTAACTATAATGTCAATTATATATGGTAAATTTCTTGCTTTAATATATATATATATATATTAAAGCAAGAAATTTACCATATATAATTGACATTATAGTTATATATGGTATATACATAGATAGATGGATATATAGATTTTTCACAATACTTTCCACTTTTCTTTTTATCGTTTCAATAATACATTCCACTCTCTTGAAATAGCAGGGTACTTGAAATTAGTGGAGAGAAGGAGAACGAATAAGGAAGGGTATAAGAAGGGTTAGAGAGAGGCAAATTTAGTTGTTACGGAGGCCAAGATTGCAGCGTTTAGTCGATTGTACGATGAACTTGGGGCCAAAGGCGGAGACAAAAAATTGTACAAGTTAGCATAGGTAATAGAGAGGAAAGCCCGTGACCTGGACCAAGTGAAGTGCATTAAAGATGAGGATCGCAAAGTATTGGTGGATGGCGCACATATTAGAAGAAGATGGTAGACGTACTTTCACAAACTCTTGAACAAAGAGGGGAATAAGAGCATTGTGCTGGAGGACTTGGAGCACTCTGAGAGTTGTCGGGATTTTGGGTATTCATGGTTGAAGAGGTTGTAAGGGCCATGCGTAAGATGAGTAGAAAGCGACCGAGCCAAATGAGATCCCGGTGAAATTTTGAACGAACGCGGACATGACATATTTGGAATGGCTTACTAGGTTATTTAATGTTAACGATGAAAGTCTGAGATAGGGTGGTGGAAGCAAGGGTGAGGAGGACTGTATCTTTTTCTGAAAATCAATTCGGAATTATACCGGTGCAATCGACTACTAAAGCCATTTACCTTATTAGGAGGCTAGTGGACCAGTATAGGGATAGGAAGAGAGACTTGCACATAGTATTCATTGACCTAAAGAAATCCTACGACAAAGTCCGGGGGAGGTGTTATGAAGATGTTTGGAGGTTAGAGGTGTGCATGTAGCTTATATTAGGGTGATCCTGGAATAAGACCCGGGTTAGGACAGTGGGAGGGGACTCGAAACATTTCCCAATTGTGATGGGTTTGCATCAGAGATCCGCTCTTAGTCTGTTTTTATTTGCCTTAGCGATGGATGTTCTAACGCGACACATTCAAAGGGAGATGCCATGGTGCATGTTATTTGCAGATGATATATTACTGATTGATGAGACGCGGGCTAGTGTTAATGCACGGCTAGAGATTTGGAGACGAACATTGGAGTCAAAAGGTTTCAAGTTGAGCATGACTAAAACAGAGTACTTAAAATGTAAGTTCAACAACGTGACTCAGGAAGAGGATGTGGAAGTAAGGCTAGATTCACAAGTAATTCCCAATAAAGGGAGTTTCAAGAACCTCTGATCTCTAATTTCTAGTAATAGAGAGATAGACGAGGATGTCACGCATCGAATCAGAGCGGGTGGATGAAATGGAGGCTCGCTTCCGGGTTTTTGTGCGATAAGAATATACCACTAAGACTCAAATGTAAGTTTTTTAATGTAGTGGTTAGACCAACTATGTTGTATGGAGTAGAGTGTTGACCAGTCAAGAACGCCTATATACAACAGATGAAAGTAGTAGAAATAAGGATGCCGAGATGGATGTATAGGCATACCAGGAGAGATAAGCTTAGGAATGAAGTTATCCGAGACAAGGTGGGAGTGGCTCTTGGGGAGGATAAGATGTGGGAAGCTAGACTAAGATGGTACGGGTATGTGAAGAGGATGAGTATAGATGCCCCGGTGAGAAGGTGCGAGAGGTTGGCCATGTCGAGGTTAAGGAGAGGTATAGGTAGGCCTAGGAAGTATTGGGGAGAGGTGATTAGACAAGGCATGACACACCTTCAGCTTACTGAGGACATGACCCTGGATAGGAAGACGTGGAGGTTGAGAATTAAGGTAGAAGGTTAGTTGTTAGGCGGGAGTGTCTCGTTTGCATGTCGGTAGCATTAATATTAATCTTTTATTTTCTTACCTCTATATCCGTAGGTTTCTTTTACCTTATGTTGGTGCTTTCACTTCGATTATTCTATCTCCCTACCACCTTATCTTGTTGATGTTACTACGTGTTATGTCTGCTTCTTTTACGTTTATTTTGAGCTGGGGATCTATCGAAAATAACCTCTCTATCTTCACAAGGTATATGCATGCACTTTACCTCCAAACCCTACTTTATGTGATTACACTGAATTTGTTATTATTGTTGATGTTACTCTCTTGAAGTAGCAATCTTTAGTCATCTTACGTTATATGTAACGTGGGATGGCACAAATAAAATGCCATGATAGAGAGGGAGAACCTAGTTGGATCCAGATTATACATTAAGTTATGTTGATTTTACTATGGTCAAATATTAATTTAAGATAAGAATACACACTAAATAGTCACGGTTAAGTGATAAACCAATGAAAAATACACATTATTACTTTGGTGTAGGGGTGGCAAATGGGCGGGTTAGGCTGAATTTGGACGGATCAAGATGGGTTAGGTCAATAAATGGGCCATTGCCCAACCCAGCCCAAAATGTACTTGGGCTAAGATGGGCAGGGTCAAGATGGGCTAAACAATGGGTCATAA